CCCCAAAACCCCAAAACCCCAAAACCCCAAAACCCCTTAAGTAATGATGTGTATGAAATTAATATTAATACTAAATTCATAAATTGAAATCATAATTTTAATTGTGCTTTTAGTGACTCACATACCTTGCTTCATCATTAGTGCTATAAATATTATTTTGCTATTTGTTATTTCGTCTCTTGAATTGGTAACTTTACTCCAAGAGCATTGATTTTTTCAGTTTTTATCTGCTTTCGTTCATTTAGACTCCTATATCTATTTACTGATATTTCTCATTAATTTTCTCTAGTTTCTGTAAGTTACGCTTTAAAGATGAATTAATAGGAGGAATAAAAGACTGTAAAATCATATCCTATCGCTTTTATTTGATATCTTATTATAATTTCACATAAGGACCGAATATACTCTTACTTTCTCTGTTTTACTGATCAAAAGTCTGAGTAAGTTGACTAGCGTTATGATTATTCTCTCTCGGCTCTTAACTTTAATTTAGCCTAGTTGTGAAATAATAGGTATTTTTAGGGGTTGTTAGAGTAGTTTAATCTGTAATCTTTCGATCTGAGGCATGAGTATTTGTATTTTAATTATTTAGCAAATTTAAATTCATCTTTGAAGCTAAATTAATGCTTAATCTAAAGTTCTTTCTTCCTGAGTCATTGAGAATTTCATTTAGAGTCGTCTTACTCTCTTGGCCGAAAGCAGTTCCTTTCAAAATATCTCCTTTACTTTAGAAATTTTTCATTACTTATATGTTATTCAGCTTTTATGCGATTTTATGGTCTCTAATTTAAAGATAAATTGGATTTATTCCTCTTTATGTGCTTGTAGAATTATGTATCTAAGATCTACTTCTATAATGTTAAAGTTCGTTTCTACTCTGATCTCCTTTTAATGGATTTTCTTAACTTTTTTGTAAGTTATATTCCTGAGTTTGTATATGAGCATGCGTTGTAAATAATTCTTTGTGGTTGTGCTTTGCGGCTGGAAGTTTGAGAATATTAGTACTACTAATGTCAAGAGACTCATTAAGATTACCTGGTTTATGCTCATTCATTAGCTTATACAAGTGACCTTTCTTTAAATTGCTCTTATAGATAACGTTAGAATTTACCATCTTCTTTTATTATTGCTATGAAGTTTTGCTGTTGTCTATCTTAAAGCTTATGTTCTCTTTAGAATCAGTCATTCCATTTGTCCTAAAATCAGCTCTTAAAGAAGGGTTTCTTAATCTAACCCTATGGCTTATAGTATCTGTAAACTGTTTTGATTAAGCTCCTCCAGTCTAAAATTGTGCTTATTTGATCGGAAGAACTCGATATACAGGATCCTTTTCATTTCTTATACTTTTGTATGCCTCATAATTAAGATCACCCTAAGGAGTAAAGAAATTTTATTGAGTAGCATCATGAGAAAAATCATTTGACTTAAATCACAGTTCCAAATTCTGGAAGTGAAAATGTTCTCCGCGATCTTCAAAATTTTAACTAGCTCTCAGGCTTTATTACATTTTATTAACAAACTTATTTTTATTATTAATCCTAGAATTGCCATGAATCAATCAATTCTACTTTTCGGGGTTTTGGGGTTTTGGGGTTTTGGGG